AATCTCAGAATCTTAGAATCTCAGAATCTCAGAATCTCAGAATCTCAGAATTTCAGAATCTCAGAATCTCAGAATCTCAGAATCTCAGAATCTCAGAACAGAATCTCAGAATTTCAGAGTTTCAGAGTTTGAGAGCTACGGAATTCTTAGAATCTCAGAACTTCGTGATTTTTCAGATTTTTAAAATTCCTAGATTTTCAGAACTTCCGAACTTCAGAATTTCTGTTTCTCGGAAGTCTGCAGAATCTTGAAAAACTTTAAAAAACTCCTTAAAATCACCAAAATCACCCCACCAGATTCTAAACAAAACCAAAAAAGAATTGCTCCCGGTGAGGCTCGAACTCACGACCTTCAGATTATGAGACTGACGCGCTGCCTACTGCGCTACGGAAGCAGGCGAGGTAGAGAGGTGGGCAGTGCGTATACATTTCTAGAGGTAAGGGCGAGGCGAGAAGAAAGGAAGAGAGAGAGAGAAGTGAGGCATGTGTTGTAATCAGCGAGTCGTTCGTCAAGTGTTTTGTCCCCGGTTTGTATCCCATTTTCCTCCCCCATCTTTTCCACCAAATGCACTTGTAATACGCATGTGTTCCCTTCTTTGCCCGTTATTAGCGTTGCTTAACACAATTTCGACTAACGAGGGGTACTAGGGGGTGCATCATTCGCAATCAAGCACTTTTGGGGCAACACAAGCGTTCGGAATTGATATATTTTGGGGGAAGGGAATTTGTGAAGCATAACATTTACTTTCTAAGCTTATACTATATGGAATTTACTTTAAAATGTTACATAAAGCCAATTGGAGACAAAGATGTGCAGGTTGAAAGATGTACTTAAAAAAATAGCGCATATCTCACGAACCAATTAAGTTATCAAAATATAATCAATTACAAAAATATTTTTCATAAAATTTCACACATTTTATTAGTTGACTCCATTTTCAGCTTTTGGACCACCATTGAGATAATGTCATTTGAACCTTAATAGCGCTAGAAAAATGGTAGTTCTGAAATGCGCTCATATCTCAAGAACCCATGCAAATAGCAAAAAGTTGATAATTACAAAAATGTTAAAAACAAAATTTTACACAATTTACTAGTGAATCATTTTTTGGAAAATCTACTAGAAACCGAGATACAGTAGTTCAAAGATTGTCGTCGGCAAAAAAGTATGTAATACATATTCCTCCAGAAATCTCCAGATAAAAATCTGTTCTTTTCTCGATATGCAATTAAGCGGAAACATATTCCGAATACATATATAGGAACATATGAGACAAAAATGTAGAACGAAAAGGTTGTTAGGAAAAATAGTGCAGGAAAATAAGAGGGCGCAGAAAATCAGACTTTCGAGCTACGTCTCTGTGCCAAGCTATAATTGATGAAGCTAAATTATCTCGGTTCCTATAAGAGATATCAAAAATCTGTCAACTGATAAAGTATTGCTGATATTATGATAAGTCATTATTATGATAAGATATCAGTTGAAGTTTTTTCGATACCTTCTAGAGGAACCAAGCTAATTGAGCATAAGGTGTACGAATAGCATGGGCTTCTATTAGAGCGTATACGGTAAATTATTTCCGTTACTATAAAAGATATTAAGAATCTGTCAACTAATAAAATGCTTGTCATATTATCAGCAACATTTTATCAGTTGACACATTTTTGATATCTCTCACAGGAAACGAGATAATTGAGCTTAAAGGACAGATGTAGGGTGGCGCTTACTTTTCAGAACTGGAAAGTGTGTGAAAATGGCCACGATAAATTAGACTATCTGTGTTCAGACAAAAATCAAAAGGTTCCCAAAAAATCATTGTGTTCTTGCATATCCGTTCAAGTAGCTTTGTGCTGCGCGGTCAAGTACCAATAAGTCTTTGATCTATCGGGCGGTCTTGTAGGATGAGGAGACAAGTGCTTGTTGTTTGTCAAATGACGTAAGGATAGTATATAGTACATCTCATTGGACGGTTCAAAATTTAGGTACACGTATTCAAGAATAGCGTAAAACCTGTGAATTTTAACTTTGAGCCAATTTATCTCGGTTCTTTTGAAAGATATCGAATTGTGGTCAACTGAAAAATTGTTTATCACAATGCCACTTACATTTGGTCTGTTGACACATTTCTGATATCTCTTATAGGGGCCGAGATAAATGAGCTCAAAATTGACAGTGTGGGGGCCCTTCTATTACAGGTTTTTCGGTACCTCGAATTCTCTAAGAGAACACTACACTATTTTACTGTAAATGCTCTGATGAAAGCCAAACCTACAGATGCACTTTGAGCTCAATTATCTCGAATTCTATAAAAGATATCTAAATCTGCTAACTAACAAAGTAATGCTGATATTATGATGAACAGTTTATCAGTTGACAAAGTTTAGAAATCTTTCGAATCAACCAAGATAATTGAGCTTAAAGTGCAATAAAACTGTCAACACATACTTAATCAAATTGTCACTAGGTCATCGTTTTGCGGGAAAAAACCCCGAAAGTTAGTATAATAAAAGATTGATGAGGGTGGAAAGGAGAGCTTGTGCAATATCTATTGGGTCCATCTCCATCTCAAAAATCGGGAGAGAGAGAGCTGTCATAATCTTTGAGTTGAGAAGGAGGAGGAGCCAACTGACAACTTATGCCTTCTTCCTCTTATTCTTTTGCTCATCATCATCATCATCATCTTCGCGGCATTCGAGCAGCAATCTGATATATGTAAAGTTGGGAAGAGGGAAAGAAATGGGTGATTATGGAATTCGAATTTTTCCTGAAAATTATTATCTTAAAAGTGCTTGGAGTTACGGTCTGCATTTTAGCGTTATGGTGTACAGTAACTAGTGTTCATACAGTGCGTTTCAATATTATACGTCCACTCTTGTTTTTGGCCGTAACTTGAGAACCGGTTGAGATATCAATCTAATTTTATTAAAATTGAATTCAGAGCAACAAATTACATCTAGAAAACCATTTTTGAGAAAAAATATTGAAAACTACTCGAGATACAGAGAAAAATCTGAAAATGTGACATTTGCAACCGTTTCAAAATTATACGTCCACTCTCAGAATCAATGCTAAAATAGAGAATGAAAAATATTTCAATACTTTGTGGATGAACCTTTACCAGCAATGACATCGAAGAGACGATTTGGCATCGATTTGATAAGGTTTTGGATGTATTGGGTGCTCTTAGTCTTGAACTCCTGCTCCAGCAGACTCCACTCAGCAATCAGCGCATCCCGAAGCTCTCCAATACTAGCATACTTCTTTCCATGGCGGTAAAGACGACGAACCAGCTCGCCCCAAACATTTTCCATCGGATTCAGATCTGGAGAGCAAGCTGGCCATGGCAAGACATCGATGTTTTTCGATTGGAACCAGTCCAAAGTGGAGCGGCTGTCATGGATTGCAGCATTATCTTGCTGAAAAATGAACTGGCGGCGACTGAATCGACGACGAAACGGGATAAGGTGGTTCTGGAGAACGTCTTGGTAGTCTGTGGAGTTCATTCGACAAAGCGAGCTCCAAGTATCCAGCCGAAGCAAATGCTCCCCATACCATCAAACTGCTCCCCCGAAATTCCTTTTGGCAAAAACGGCTGGATCCTTCCGCAAGTCGTGCCAGTACGATTTGAATCCGTCGGGTCCATCAAGATTGAATTTTTTCTCGTCCGAAAAAATTACCTGTAAAAGATAAGATAATTTGGATAGATAATTTTAAATTTAATACCTTATCCCAGTTGGTTCCCATGTTTTTTCGAGCGAAGTCGAGACGGCGAGTTTTGTGATTGTCAGTGAGCTTCGGAGCAGGGCGCATGACTGCTCTTTTGATGTTTGGATCATCCTTAAGAGCCCTCCAGATTGTACACTTGCTCACTCCAAGATTCAGCTCTTTTTTGATATCATTACAAGACTTCATGGTGTTTGAAGCCACACGAACGATTGATCGTTTGGCTCTTGAATTGAGTTTCGGAGGACGTCCAGCCTTGTTGGGTTGATTGTTGCGGGTCCGGTTCGATACAAAACGATTAATGCAATCGTGGGAACGATTTAGATGTTTCGCGATAGCCCTGTTGGTCCAACCAGAGGTTTTGAACGCGTCGATGAAGGCTTTTTCAGCATCAGTGAGCAAATGGCCACGAGACATGTTGAAAAGTGGAGAAAAACAAGGAAAAGCATAATGAAAAAAGTTTCTCACATTGGCAGCAAAAAACAAAACTAAATTCAAGCTTTTCCGGCTCCGCCAAAGGTCAAGATCGACATACCTTTGAAGTGGACGTATAATTTTGAAACGGTTGCAAATGTCACATTTTCAGATTTTTCTCTGTATCTCGAGTAGTTTTCAATATTTTTTCTCAAAAATGGTTTTCTAGATGTAATTTGTTGCTCTGAATTCAATTTTAATAAAATTAGATTGATATCTCAACCGGTTCTCAAGTTACGGCCAAAAACAAGAGTGGACGTATAATATTGAAACGCACTGTATAAACGAAATTTCGAGAATTTTTTTCATGTCTGTCCAAAGTCCGCTTTGCCAAATTTGAGAGAACCCCTTCATTCTTTAAAATTCTTCAGATCTTTATCTCAATCATAATTTATAACAGGGGGTTTTATTTTTTTTTTCTTGTAACACAATGTAGGACATTCTGACATTCTGACATTCTGACATTCTGACATTCTGAAATTCTGAGATTCTGAAATTCTGAGATTTTGAAATTCTGAGATTCTGAGATTCTGAGATTCTGAGATTCTGAGATTCTGAGATTCTGAGATTCTGAGATTCTGAGATTCTGAGATTCTGAGATTCTGGAAATCTGGAAATCTGAAAATCTGAAATTCTGAGATTCTGAAATTCTGAGATTCTGAAATTCCGAGATTCTGAGATTCTGAGAGTCTGAGATTCTGAGATTCTGAAATTCTGAGATTCTGAAATTCCGAGATTCTGAGATTCTGAGATTCTGAGATTCTGAGATTCTGAGATTCTGAGATTTTGAGGTTCTCAGATTCTCAGATTCTGGGATTTCGAGATTCTGAGATTCTGAGATTCCGAGATTCTGAAATTCTGGGATTCTGAGATTCTGAAACACTGAGATTCTGATATTCTGAGATTCTGAGATTCTGAGATTCTGAGATTCTGAGATTCTGAGATTCTGAGATTCTGAGATTCTGGAAATCTGGAAATCTGAAAATCTGAAATTCTGAGATTCTGAAATTCTGAGATTCTGAGATTCTGAGATTCTGAGATTCTGAGATTCTGAGATTCTGAGATTCTGAGATTCTGAGATTCTGAGATTCTGAAATTCTGAGATTCTGAGATTCTGAGATTCTGAGATTCTGAGATTCTGAGATTCTGAGATTCTGAGATTCTGAGATTCTGAGATTCTGAGATTCTGAGATTCTGAGATTCTGAGATTCTGAGATTCTGAGATTCTGAGATTCTGAGATTCTGAGATTCTGAGATTCTGCGATTCTGAGATTCTGAGATTCTGAGATTCTGAGATTCTGATATTCTAATATTTTGAGATTGTGAGATTCTGATATTCTGAGATTCTGAGATTCTGACATTCTGAGATTCTGAGATTCTGGAAATCTGAGATTCTGAGATTCTGAGATTCTGAGATTCTGAGATTCTGAGATTCTGAGATTCTGAGATTCTGAGATTCTGAGATTCTGCGATTCTGAGATTCTGAGATTCTGAGATTCTGAGATTCTGATATTCTAATATTTTGAGATTGTGAGATTCTGATATTTTGAGATTATGAGATTCTGACATTCTGGAAATCTGGAAATCTGGAAATCTGAAATTCTGAGATTCTGAAATTCTGAGATTCTGAGATTCTGAGATTCTGCGATTCTGCGATTCTGAGATTCTGAGATTCTGCGATTCTGAGATTCTGAGATTCTGAGATTCTGAGATTCTGATATTCTAATATTTTGAGATTGTGAGATTCTGATATTTTGAGATTATGAGATTCTGACATTCTGGAAATCTGGAAATCTGGAAATCTGAAATTCTGAGATTCTGAGATTCTGAGATTCTGAGATTCTGAGATTCAGTAACTAAGAAACCGCGGCCCTTTTTCCGAGAACCACAAGTTTTGTGGAATTGGTCAAGTTGGTAGTCTTGAATACAAACCATCGCGTGTCATATGACTCATTTTTAGTACTATTTTTCTCGGAATTGTTCTCAACGTTTTTTGTTCTCCTGTTTTGTCAAAATATGCTAAATAGAGAAAAATCGTAACATACGAAACTAAGATCCAAACTTTTCAACCAGTAGAGACCAAGACAGGAAGTGGAGTGGTGGCCTAGAGAAGGTACCAAGAAATTTTTCCGGTTTCCTGTTTTCTATTCCCAGCTGCTTATATTCGATTTCAGACTTCTGAATTCCGAATTCTGATTTCCAACTTTTCATTTCCGAGTTCCTATTTCCATCTAAGGATTACCAACTTCCAACCCAGGTGGCCGAGTTCTTGCTTTTTTCTAGGCCACCTGACCTTCTCGCTTTCTAAGTTTCCTCTATTCTTTTTCAAACGATTTTTTAATGTATTCTGAATTTAACACGTTTTGATAAAAACGAACAGAGAGAAGAAATAGTGAGAGACGGAGACAGATAATAAAACCCGATGGCGGTGAGAGAAAAAAGAGGATCGTGTTTGTTTCGAGTGTTTTGTGTGTCTGTTTTCTTTTTCGAATCATTTGATAGGATTTTTTTTTTCCATTTGGTATTTTTTGTTCGAAATCGGAAATATTGAGTTCATATAAAAATATGTGTATCGAAATGTTGAAAAATGTCCAAAAACCCTTTTCTGTACACATTTTTATATATTTTTTAAAAAGATATGTGTTTTTTTTCGTTTCCGGCTTATTTTTTTTGTTCTTATCACTACCTAATCACTGTTTATTTTCTCAATCAGAACGCACATTTTTGATTCATTTGTCATAGTTCCGTTTTTTTAAAGAAAATGATATAACGCTTCTGAAATTTCAGACAACATTCTTTTGCCTTAAAATTTCATGATTTTTTTAAATTTTGAGTGAATTGGCATTTTGAAATGTTAATTTTGAGTTAATTTTGAAGTTTTAGGTCATGATAAGAAATGACAACCGGAATATGTTAAGTCAGGTTGTAGGTTTGAAATTTCAATATTTTGAAAATTTGAATTTATTGGGATTCTGAGAATTCTGAATTCTTGGGTTCTGAATTCTAAGATCCTGATATTTTGAAATTCTGCGATTCTAAGATTTTAAGATTCTAAGATTCTAAGATTCTAAGATTCTAAGATTCTGAAGTTCTGAAATTCTGAGATTCTGAGATTCTGCGATTCTGCGATTCTGCGATTCTGAGATTCTGAGATTCTGAAATTCGGAAATTCTGAGATTTTGAGATTCAAAAATTCTAAATAAAAATTCTAAATATTCTAAACTTCCAAAAAATTCATAAACTATAGAATATCTTGAAATTTTAGAATTTCAGAATTTCAGAATCCCAGAATCTCTGAATCACAGAACCTTAGAATAGTTCAGAATTCCAGTTTTCCGAGTTTCAGAACTTCAGCATTTTAGAAACCCACAATTTCAAATATTTAGAAAACTGATAATTTTTGTACTTTGAGATTCTGATATACAAAGTTCAAAATGTTCAAAATTTTGAAAATTTCTTTTTTTCTCTGTTTTACATTTCTTCGAAATTCTTCCACCCATTTTTTCTTTGACAAACTGTTTCACATGTGCAAATTACCCACTATAAAAATAAAACCCCCACCAACATCATTGTTTCCTCTTATCACCTTTTTATCGGTTTCCAAATTTTCAGACAAATTCCAAAATTTCAGAAAAAACGCAATGAAGGTCAGCGATGTGGAGGACATCGGGGGGGAGAGTGTTCTACAGAGAAGTTATTCTTGTAAGTTCCAAGCTGGCCTAAAAAATAATTCTAGGCCTATATATCATTTTCAGTGACCTCAAAAAGTTTGGAGAACAATTTCAATTTTTTGGAAAAATTCTGGCTAAAATTGAGGCCCTATTGTGGAATAGGAACTGTAATTGTGTTCCTACTCGCTTTTCATGGATTTTTAAGTAAGTCCGTCTGTCTGTCTAGATGTCCAGATGTCCTTTTTGCAGTCGCCGCCGGCATCCATAACTACCAAAAAGCGGCACCTCTCATCTACATAACCCTATTCCTTTGGCTAGTTTTTGTTTTGAACTTTCTGGTGACCACTGAAAAATTTCAAGTCATATACACCGATTTTTCTCAAAAAGTGACAGAGTTTGTGGAGCAAAAAAGATTCGTACCAGTGTAAGCTTTCTCGGAAACTCGGAAATTTCTAGAAGTTCGAATTTCAGAGGTCTCAAAATTGGATTCATTTTGGCGTTGCTGGCATTCACAATTGTGGATTCAATTCATGATATTTCTAGACTTTTCGGGTTTTTCGCATATATTTTTTATATTGCGTTCATGTTCGCTTTTTCGAATAATCGGATGAAGGTGAGCTTTTGCGTCCCGGCTGTTTCTTGGCTTTTGGGCCAGAACTCAAAACTCCAGCACAATCAAAATTAGCATCATTTTGTAGATCTTTGCAAGTGTTACATTTTAGTATTTGTTTCAAACAAAAATTCCAAGTTTGAGCTGAGTTATGCGGCAGGCCTGTGCGGCAACAAAATATTTTCGGCAATTCGGCAACTCGGCAATTTGCCGAATACTTTTCGGCAACGTTCGGCAATTTTCGGCAACAAAAGTTTTGCGTCTTTTTTTAGTAAAAAGGATACGTAACTCACCTGAAAATGCTTCTATCAGGCTCAGAACTACAGAAAATGTGTTTCATAAGTTCCTTTAAAAAGTAATTACAAAAATTGGCAACTCAAGACCATATTTTTTTGCAAACTATTTCTCTTTAGCAATAGAGGGTATTCCAAAAGTTGAAAATATTTTTTCCGATTGTGAGTTTTGAAAATAGTGCGCTCAACTTGTTAGGCAACTCACGACACACGTTCCCTAGAGTTTGAGACAGATTGGATAATTTTTTTTGATGAGTTGTGACTCATGATATCTATTTTTCTCCTATGCTCACAAATTTGAAGCCCATTTTTAGATCCGATGCAAGTATTTTTGATGATTATTGGGACACATTTCCTCTAAAATTCACTCTGAGGGATGATGGTATTCAAAATTTGATTTTTCGAACTTCGAAATCATTTTTTTGACTAATAAAATTGTGAAAATCTCTAAATTCAAAAAAATTTCAGTTGCCGAAATTGCCGAAATCGGCAACGGCAATTCGGCAACTTTTTCTTCGTTGCCGATTTCGGCAACGGCAAATCGGCAACAAAAATTCGGCAATTTCGGCAATCGGCAATTTGTTGCCGCACAGGCCTGTTATGCGGCTTGGCGCGTGGTCTACCCGTGTCGACGCTATCCGGGTTGACTTCGGCTCCCCCACGGCTTCTGGTCCAAAACCCAAAATTCGAATATATCGAACCGCTGTTTTACAGCTTCTAGCCCAATACACGAAATCCCAGCATAGTAAAATTTTATACCATTTTGTAGATCTTTTTAACTTATACATTTTACTTTTTATTTCAAACAATAATTCCACGAATGAACGGAGTTATGCTCCTTTGACGCAATTTAACTTTGGCCCAATTTTTCTCAATTCCTGTTGGAGATATCAAAACGCGACAATTCAACAAAATGTTTCTGATAATGTGATAAAAACTTTGTTAGTTGACAACTTTTTGATATCTCTTACAGGAATGGAAATAAATTAGGTCAAAGTAGACACTCAGACAGAAAGCAGACATTTTTCAGATCAACTGGTCCGTGGTCTCCAGCGCTCTAATTATGCACTACTGCTTGGCACTAATCATTCTTAAGTGGTCAACAGGCCAATGGTTTTTTCAACAAATCGCTAAATTGATAGTTGGATTTCTGGAATTCGCTCAAGTCGGAGCGAAATTCATGTTCGGCTTTATTGCTGGTCCTCCGAATATCTGTGATTTGGCGCCAGTTTTTATTTTCACCTCTCTTCAAACTTTGATCTACTTCTCTGCAGTTGTAGCACTACTTTTCTATTTTGGAATCATTCAAGTAGTCCTGAAAAAGAGCACATGGTTCATGAAAGTGCTCATAGGGACCACACCAGTGGAATCTGTAAATGCGTGGGCGTGCACGTTCCTGGGAATGACCGAGGCTCCGCTGATGATCGCTCCATACTTTGAAAAGTGCACGGATTCTGAAATCTTTGCGATTGTGACTAGTGGATTCGCATGTGTAGCTGGTACTGTATTCGCAGCTTACGTGGCTCTTGGAGCCTGCCCAATCTACTTGCTCACTGCGAGTTTGTTATCAGCTCCAATGTCATTGGCCTGCTCGAAAATTATGTTTCCAGAGGTGGAAGAAACAAGGATAAAGGTGAGTTGAACCTGCCATTTCGAAAAATATGAAAAATAAAGAAATTCTCCAGGAAGAAGACTTCCAACTAGATCACTCTCACAAAAAGGGATTTTTTGACACTTTATGCTCCGCGGGAGTTTCCATGGTGCCTACCGTATTCGCCATTGGAGCTACTCTAGTTGTCATTATGTCACTTTTAGCGCTTCTGGACACTGTTATGAATTATATTGGAGATTTGATTGGATACGAGGGATGGACATTTCAGATGTTGTTTGGTTATGCGTTCTTCCCATTGGCCTACATTATGGGAGTCACTGATGATGTTAATCAGACGTTGTTGTTAGTTTAATAGAGTTTTCCAAAAAACTAGAAGAGCTAGAAAATATTCGCCAACTGCAAAAATTATTCTTATAAAATTTCATAAATGATACTAGTTGATAACTTCTTCTTGCTTCATTAGTATCAAAGTTATGAGCTTGTGAACCCAAAATTTCCAGAGTGGCTCAACTAATGGGTACTAAAACCGCTGTCAACGAATTTGTGGCGTACAACAATTTAGGAAACCTTCAGAAAGATGAAAAGCTGCATGTAAGTCCAGAAGCTTTCAGATTCTTCCAGAATATCTACTTCCAGAAAAAATCCATTCTGATTGCCACGTATGCTTTATGTGGATTTTCCAACTTTTCATCTATGGGGATGTCTATTGAATTTTTGGGAGGCCTGGCGCCTAGTAAACGGTCCACCGTATCGAATTTGGTGTTAAGGGCACTTTGTGCAGGATCAATTGCATGTTTTATGAATGCTACTGTTGCAGGTGAGAGATAAGTGAGTGAGGGGAGAGCGCAGAGAAGCTAGAGCGTCTGCTTGTCTGCGCTCTCTTAATGATACTCTTTGAGGGCCTGTATCTCGCTTAGTTATGGAGATATTGAAAAGTTATAAACAGATAAAGTGGGTAAAATGTTATACTCTACTGGTTAATTACAAATGATTTACATTTCTCTTATATACTTTTGAGTTCCAGTCGATTTCCTATTGGAAAACTTGAGATACATGTTTAGAGAAGGAGACAAGCAGAAATTTTCTTTTCAATTTTTAGGAATTCTGGTATCGTCTCCAGAGTCATGCAAAGCTGCTCAACGACCTGACTGCTTCAGAATTCCAAACTCGTAAAGTTGTTTTTTTTTTGGATTATCTGTACAAATTGTATATTTTTGTCTTTAGCTTTTAAAAACATTTTCCTCATAGCAGCTCTAAACTTCTGGAATTCAAAATTTTCCCATTCCGGTGCTTTTCCAACAATCCTTTTTTCTACATTTCCCCCCATTTTCAAATTCCTCTTCAATCATAAAACGGCTCTATTCGATTAGCGCCCCCTGTTCAAAACCCCTCTATCTTTTCTCGATTTTCATACCATCCCATAAAAATGGCTTCCTATTCTCTTCTTCTATTCCTGACCCTTCTCGGAGCCTCTACCCACGCATATATGGATTGGGAGACCGGGAATGTGGCGACGAAATTTTTGGATTTCATCAAGTCGATTATCTAGGAAAGAACAAATGTTCCTATTTGGTTCAAACAAGAGTTCAAGTTGGAGTACTGCAATAATAAGATTATCAATGGAGGTTGGTTTTTTGGGGGCCATGTATTTCGATGTACATGAGCTAGACTTAGACTTAATCCTTCGGCTTAAACTAGATCCTTAGAGTTGACTCTTAATCTTGAATCTTAGGCTTAGGCAAGATCCTTGCACTAAGACCTGGCCAGTAGACACAGACTTGTTGATGGTTTAGCTACAATTTTTAGGCTTAAGCTATAAGGTTAGCCTCAAATTTTGGCTTTTTTCAAGGGGGACTCCGACCAAAAATTTTTATTGTATGAAAAGGTGTTAAAAGTTATCTATTTTCCTAATATTATTGCAAAAAAATTTAAAAGAAATCTGAAATCCTCGAAAAACGCCGTTGAAAATGAAAAAAATTCAAAAAAGGTGCCGCCGAGGGAGGGGATTTGAATTCCCGCGCAGTGAGAAAACTAGGCTACGGCGCCTGAGAGCATTATTTTCAAGTGGCCGACAGTGTTTTTTAACGTTTTTTACCTGTTGGAGATAAAAGCGAGAAAAATCCGGAAAAATTGTCGGTAAGAAAGTCGCGCCGCTCGCGTGGCNTAGGTTTTCCCNTGGGAAACTTTTTTGTTTTTCCTCGGCGGCACATTTTTTTGAATTTTTTTCCTTTTCAACGGCGTTTTTTGGGAATTTCGGATTTTTTTTTCTAAACGACGCCTATTTCGAAGGAGAACGTCTTCATATGAAATTCTCATTGATCTTCCGTCTTCCTTCAGGTCGTGGATACGAAGATTCTCCAAAATATGAGGTCCAACTCCAGAGAAAAAGAAGAGCTTTAACTCTGATTGAAGCCAAAATCACTAATTGTAATGAGATTCCTAATTGATTATTTTTTCATAGTTGCCGGATGCCGGGCCGTCCGCGGGCCGGCTTGGTCTGGCATTTCGCAACTTTGATTTTTTGTAAGTTTGGAATAAATTTGTTGAGCATTTTCTGCTTTTTTTGGTTACTGTAGTTTTAAAAGTTTTCCGCTTTTTTGAGACTACCTTGAGAGGGAAATTTCGAATTTCCTGGGAATTATTAAAATACAAAAGAGATCCTGGATTTTCGAATTTTTAGAATTTCAAATTTTCAGAATCTCAGAATCTCAGAATCTCAGAATCTCGGAATCTCACAATCACAGAATCTCAGAATCTCAGAATCTCAGATTCTTAGAAATTCCAAACTTCTGAATCTCACGAAATTCAGAATTTCAGAATTTCAGATCTTCAGAATCTCAGAATCTCAGAATCTCAGAATCTCAGAATCTCAGAATCTCAGAATCTCAGAATCTCAGCATCTCAGATTCTTAGAAATTCCAAATTTCTGAATCTCACGAAATTCAGAGTTTCAGAATTTCAGATCTTCAGAATTTCAGAATCTCAGAATCTCAGAATCTCAGAATCTCAGAATCTCAGAATCTCAGAATCTCAGAATCTCAGAATCTCAGAATCTCAGAATCTCAGAATCTCAGAATCTCAGAATCTCAGCATCTCAGATTCTTAGAAATTCCAAATTTCTGAATCTCACGAAATTCAGAAATTCAGAATTTCAGAATTTCAGACCTTCAGAATTTCAGAATCTCAGAATCTCAGAATCTCAGAATCTCAGAATCTCAGAATCTCAGAATCTCAGAATCTCAGAATCTCAGAATCTCAGAATCTCAGAATCTCAGAATCTCAGAATCTCAGAATCTCAGAATCTCAGAATCTCAGAATCTCAGAATCTCAGAATCTCAGAATCTCAGAATCTCAGAATCTCAGAATCTCAGAATCTCAGAATCTCAGAATCTCAGAATCTCAGAATCTCAGAATCTCAGAATCTCAGAATCTCAGAATCTCAGAATCTCAGAATCTCAGAATCTCAGCATCTCAGATTCTTAGAAATTCCAAATTTCTGAATCTCACGAAATTCAGAATTTCAGAATTTCAGACCTTCAGAATTTCAGAATCTCAGAATCTCAGAATCTCAGAATCTCAGATTCTTAGAAATTCCAAATTTCTGAAGGTACTTTCAAGTCAATTTCACACCCAACACGTGTTACCTCTCCCTAAAAAAGACCTATAAAAATTTTTTATGACTTAAAATTCTTTGTGCTCTTTATGACGTGCTAAACATTTTTGTTGCATTTTCAGAAAAAAATTTCAATTTCAGACAAAAAAAATGAACGAAAATGAAGAAGAAGGCTCGAAAAATGGCGGAGTTTGGGATCAAACTTTGATGAGTGAGTTTATTTTTTTTTAATTTTGAAATTCATAACAATTTTTCAGTCACTAAAGGAACATTCGAAAATAATGCTAACATTTTTCAAAGGATTTTTCAAAAGATTTCTCCATTTTTTGGTTTAACTGCAATTTTGCCGTTTCTACTGGTCTATCATGGCTACTTAAGTAAGTCTATCTGGTTTTTCGAAGTGTCCAGATGTCCACATATTTTCAAAATAAGTTTCAGTTGCCGCTGGCATCCACAACTATCAAAAAGCGGCGCCACTTATCTATGTGACCCTGTTTTTTTGGGTCTGCTTCATTTTAAATTTTCTAGTTGGCACTGAAAATTTCAAACGGGTTTTTAAAGATTTAGCAACGAAATTGGACAATTTTGCAAAACGGAGAGCATTTGTGCCAATGTAAAAAATTTCAGAAATCAAAAAACAGTTTCCGAAGTTTCCAGAACTTTCAAACTTGCAATCGCTGGCGGATTATTGGCGTACACTATAATTGAAGCTATTCATCAGCCAACCAGGCTAATTGGATTTGGCGGATATGTGTTTTACCTTGCGTTTATGGTTGTGTTCTCGCATCGACCGAGGAAGGTTTGTTTAAAGGCGCATATCTCGAAAAATTGAATGATTAGCAAAAAATTATTAACTGCAAAATTAATCAGCGTAAAATTTCACACAGTTTGTTAGTTCACCATTCTTTTTTATCTCAAAAACTGAAGGAGATGTAATGCAAGTTAAAAAAAAATTGTAAAATAAAAAAATTTGAATAGTTTTTGAAATTTAGAAAAAAACTAGGTCTTGACCTAGAAAAAACTAGGTCATGACCTAGAAAAAAGTTTTCTTTAGAAAAATTAGGTCATGACCTAGAAAAATCAGGTCGTGAACTAGAATAAAAATTAGGTCGTGAACTAGAAAAATAAGGTCATGACCTAGAAAAAATTTGGTCATGACCTAGAAAAATCTAGCCCATGACCTAGACAAATCAGGTGATGACCAAGAAAAATTGGGTCATGACCGAGAAAAATCTAGCCCGTGACCTAAAAAAATTTGTCGGTTCTAGTCGCCACGTAAAAAAATTTAGGTCATGAAAAAAAATAGAAAAAATTAAAAAAAAATTAAAAAATTAAAAAAAAT